AGGGGAGGGAGAGGGGCCATCAGGAGACAGCAGCAGAGGCTGGGGAGAGGGCCCCTGGGGCTAACTCCACAGAATCAGATTTACTGTCATGCTTCCTCTGCATTAAGCACCTACTGTATGCTCTGCTGGGCTAATAAACAGTGATGGGGACAGATGAACAAGATACTGTCCCCATACTTGGGCACTTGGAGTTGGTGGAGGAGACACTAAAAACCATGTCATATGAAACAGTGACAGGTGATGTGATGGGGAAGGACAGTGCTTCATTTAAACTTCACAGGAACCTTGGGAGTGGCATCAAGAAGGCAGATGGTGCCATGGTTAAGTGCATGATCTTTGCCGTGACACAGAGAAGGGTTCGAATCCTAGCTCTGTTACTCGTGTGTGACAGAGGATGACCACAGCAGGTACCTGGTGCAGATGAGAGCCAGAACGATGCTTTCTGAGTGGCTGTGTGGGTAGAGTGTTGTGGGGGCCCTGCCTGTGCCATCCCTACCCTGGTGGTGATGGGGGATGGTGTCACACTACCTTCCTGCCGGCCTCATTGTTGTGGAGGTTCATGAGGGCCCGGCTGGACGAGGCCCCTTTGCTTCTCTCCCGCACGTCCACAAACGACTGTGAGAAGGCCACGCCGTAGGCGATGTTGTCCGAGCATCCAGACCACTGGAAGCCTGGGGTGCAGTGGGCATAGAGAGGGCAGCGGTGAGTGGGGGCCAGGGCCCCAGGCACCTGCACTCCCACTCTGACCACCTCCTGCACTTACCCTGAGGGCTGACCCCATGCACCGTCCGGTCACAGCCACACTTCTCCAGCTCCCCACTGCTGCATGCCCGTGTCACCGCAAAGGCCACACCTGCTGAAGAGATGGCGTACACAAAGGCCGCCTCCCGAGTCCCTGTGGGAGGCAGAGGGAGAGCAGGGATGGGTCCCAGGGCTCCTCCCCTTTGTCCAGGGCAAGGGGTGGAGAAGGCCTTTTGAATGCTGGAGGCCATGGAGGGAGCAAGGCAGGTGGAAATGCCGAGGGCCAGGCCGTGCGGGGCGCTTCCTCTTATCACACCAGTGGCTGAACCCACTTACTCCACCCCAAGCACTGCCTGCGCTCTTCACAGATGTTGATCATTTCATCCTGAGAACAACCGTGTGAGGCAGGTACTAGTGCCATTCTTGTTTTACAGAGATGTTAGGTGGCTTGTCCGAGGTCACACAGCACCTGGCAGAGTCAGCAGATTGTCTGTCTTCAGAGCCTATGCTTTCAGTTCCTGTGGGAGACTGTTCTTACAACCTCTCTGGAAGATTAGTGGTATTCACATCATTTTATGGAAGACCAAACAGGCTCAGAGAGGTGAACTGACTTACCCAGACTACAGAGCCAGGGAGTAGCAGGCTGGACTATAAACCGAGGTCTGGCTTCCTTTTTTGGCCTTCTCCCCAGCTGGCCTCACTGGGCTCCGAAGGGGTCCCCACACCTTACGATCCTGCCCTAGCACTTCCTTTTTAGGCTGGATCAATTTCTGAAAATGTCTTGCTTCCTTATAACTTTAAGAGTAAATCATAACAACAACAGCTCCTAGGACTTAACTGCTACTACTGCCGACTAGGGGCTGCCTATTACGCACAGGCTCTCTACCACCTGAGCTTTATCTACACCCATTTTACAGAGGGTGAAACGCAGGTTCAGAGAGGGGAAGGGAACTAGTTTCAGCCACCCAGCAGGAAGCGATAGAGCCAGGACTCAAGCACAGGTCTGTCTGCCTCTGCCCCAGGACTTCTTAGTGATTCTATTTTGGTGCCGGCCCTGGTGTCCTGCCTGAATGGATGTTTTTATCCTCCTAGGAACTGTGTCTCAGGGGGCATAGCTGTTGAGGAGTCTCTTTCTGGGGATGGGGTGGGGAGGGGAGTGTGTGTGAGTGGGAGTTGCATGGCTGGTTGGGTGTGTGACCAGACAGCAGGCCCTGCTCCTCTCTGGGGCCCTGTGAGGGCCTCTGTGTGCTGTGACTGTACTTCTGTCTCTCACCGGAGTGTCTCTGTCCGCAGAAGTGGAGGGGGCAGGCCTTGGCCCCCTGGTTGGCAATTACCTCTATGACACCCAGGCCTGTGCTCTCGGCTGCCCTGGGGAGCAGTCACCGTGGTCAGATGGAAACAATCACCTCCTCTATGCCCATGTCTGTGGACAGAGGCAGCAGAATCCAGCACTGGAGTAGGACGCCGCTTGGTCCCTGACCACTCAGGACGCCCTGTTCTTGGTCTGGCCCTTGAGCTGGGGATACTGCCCACCGCCCACCACCCACTCTCCACTGCGCACTCTCCTGCTCTCTGGCTTGGCCATTTTGGGCCGGCATTGGGGGGCTTGGCTGCAGCATGGAGCCTCGACAGCCTGAGATGGAATCTTCTCCAAGTTAATCGAGGTTAATAGCAGGATCATGTTGGTTGGTTTTATGCTGTGGCTGCCCAAAGAGAGACAACTTCAGTTTCTGGTATTTCTGGTATTTCCAGGCCTGAACCAGCGCAAATCTTTGCCCCAAAGACCAGGGGGGAAGGGAAGTCAAAGCAGGAGATAGGGCTGAGGGGACTTGTGGGGTGGCCTTGGCTCTTGGCCTTGTGCGGCCCTTTCTCCTCTGCTTCTCTTGGCTCTCAGGCAGCCCCCAGCCCAACCCCAGCTCAAGGCTGACCTCTGCCCCTGAGTACTTGCAGTCCCTGGGGGGCAGGGCTCCCCGTGAAGTTGCACAGGGAGACCTCTGCCTCATTCTCCAAACCGATCCATCCACCAAACTCCAGGTCCCCTTTGAGCTGGCCATAGGGGCATAAGGACACAAACAGTTTTCCCAGCTCTAGTGTGAGCCTGAGGAAGAGATTCTGAAAGGAAGGTAATAATCACAAGAGCTAAAGCTTATGGAGAGCTTATTATGTGCTGGGAGCTGTCTAAGCACTTTACATATATTCATTTATATATTCTTTTTTTTTTTTTTGTCTTTTTGTCTTTTTTCCGTGTCCGGCAACGGATCGCAAC